AGAAAGGGCTCGCGCTTACAGATGCCCTGAGAAAGGGCGCTCCCTTAGAGCTGCCCTGAGAAAGGGCTCGCGCTTACAGATGCCTTGAGAAAGCGGCCCTGAACAAGGGCTCTCTTACAGCTGCCCTGAGAAAGGGCTGGCGCTTACAGATGCCCTGAGAAAGGGCTCTCCCTTACAGCTGTCCTGAGAAAGGGCTCGCGCTTACAGATGCGCTGAGAAAGGGCTCTCTCTTCCAGGTTCCCTGAAAAAGGGCTCTCTCTTACAGCTGCCCTAAAGGGCTCTCTCTTCTCTCTCTTGCAGCTTCCCTGAGAAAGCAGCCCTGAACAAGGGCTCTCTTACAGCTGCCCTGAGAAAGGGCTCGCGCTTACAGTTACCCTGAGAAAGGGCTGCCCCGAGAAAGGGCTATCTTACAGCTGCCCTGAGAAAGGGGTTCTCTTTTGCAGCTGCCCTGAGAAAGGCTTCTCTCTTACAGCTGCCCTGAGAAAGGGCTCTGTGTCTTACAGCTGCCTTGAGAAAGGGCTCTCTCTCTCTCTCTCTCTTATGGCTGCACTGAAAATGTTTTCTTAAAGGCTTTCTTGTTTTTGGCTGCCGTGAGAAAGGGTTTTCTCTCACAGCTGTCCTGTGAAAGGGGTCTTACAGCTGTCCTGGGAGCGGGCTGCCGTGAAAAATTGCTTGACATTTCACAGCTGCCCAGAAAGAAAGGGTTCTCTCTTACAGCTGCCTTGAAAAAGGGTTCTTTTTTGCCGCTGCCCTGAGGAAGGGCTCTCGGAACGCGCTGCCTTGCAAAACGGCTTTTACAGCTGCCCTGAGAAAGGGCTCTCCCTCTCTCTCTCTCTCTTTTTGCAGCTGCTCTGAGAAAGAGAGAGGGCTGCCCTGAAAAGGAGCTCTCTCGTACAGCTGCCCTGATAAAGGGCACTTCCCTAAAAGGGTTCTCTCTCACAGCTGCCCTGATAAGGGTTCTCACACTATTTAAGTTTGTAAGGTCAGTTGCATGACAAACATGGTGAAGTGGTGGACAAGCCAGACAGTTCGTGGGACCATAGTGGTTTGTATTTGCTTCTTTCAAATCAGCCAAGCATTAGAGCATATTAAAGTGTTTCTTCCCAACAACCGTTGGTTCAGGACGGCCTGCCTAAAGCAGAGTGAAAGTGGGTGCGGACATGGAGATGAACCAAGCGAAAATCTTTCTTTTCGCAACAATCATGAAACCTTAAGGTGGCAGTAAGTTGCCAGTTGCCCGGCTTAGTTAAACCATATTATCTCATATTATCTCAATGTTTCCAATTTTTGGGCCATCGAAACGTTCGAATCAAATCAACGACGAAAAGAACATTTCTCGGAGTGCCCGTCCGGAGTCTCCGTTTGGCCTGTAGATCCAACGCCTGCGTGAATGTTTCGGGGGTCTGGATGAATCCCTACAGAAGAATTGATGCAGTGCACAGTGCACTGGGGATACTTTCTGCGTTATTGTGCAGCGTTTTCCTACCTCTGACAGGTGCAGGTTGATGAAGGCGGCAGCAATGGGCAGCATTCTCAGTGCCAGCGAAGAAGAGACCAGTTGTTTCGTTTAACAATTCTGTGGGTTTGTCTCAGAAACACCAACCCTACAAACTCGTAGGTCTTTATACCTGCTGATGCGTTGCAAAAGCAATATTTTGATGCAAACCTTGTACAAACCACTAATTGGAGATTGAGCCCACAGTTCCGAGGGTAGTCTTGACAATTTTGTCATGTCCAGTCAAATGTGTCTGATAGAGCAGTTAATTCTTTGTTTTGTCCATTTGATCACACTAACATTAACAAAAAGAGACAAACAACGAGTTGACCAAGAAGCACCACGAAACCAGAAACACCGAGGCAGCCGGACGAGGCTTCGGCGTCGGCGGCGGCCTCGGCGGCCTCGGCTTCAGGCGGGACCGACCGGTCCAGTGCAACGGTCGTGTGGAGCGGAGCGGTGAAACCGCAAGGAGGAGAGATGCGAGATGAAGACTCCTGTTCTTGTTCTTGCTGTTGATGTGGCTGTTGTGGCTGTTGTTGATGTGGCTGTTGTTGATGTCGTTGTTTCTTTTCCCGTGTTTTTGTTGGGTATTTTACTCTGGTCATGGTTCAGAATGTTCATAGCCAACGGGGCTCGGCCCAAAAGGTTTCCGACTGAGCGGCCAACAGGTATTGGTATTATTACTTTGGAACGGATCTTCGTTAAAACATGTGTTTTCGACCACGTCTCTTTAGAAGCACCCCAACCGTCTTCATCTCTTCACGCGCCGCGCAATCCGGGATTTGTCTGAACCCAGAACCTGCCAGGGGGATCTGAGGGCAACATGAGGCCGGCAGCTCCGGAGCTCGTCCGGGATGTGGGAGCTCGTCCGGTGCACGAGTCAGCTGGGTAAATGCTTAGAGCCTCTCTTATTTGAGGCACTGGGAAAAAAACAGGAAGATCGGGTGATCATCCAAGCATCCAAGATCTTGCTTGAAACATATGTTGCATCCAGCTGTCATGGGTGGGTGGATGTGTCATGGGAGGGTGGATGTGGCTTGTGAGGACTGGCGACGAGGGTCACTTCCAAGTTGCAAAGGATCTTCCTTTGGTTCAAAGATTTCTACAGCACGAACCACCAACTCTTTCACGAACAATCGTGAACAAGAAATTATCCAAGCATGTCTCATCACTCCTACGATTCAACAAGTCACCGCAAGTCACTGCAAGTCAACAAGTCGCTCTTTTGGCTCCACA